AGGGTGGTTTCAGGAAACAGGAACTGCTGGTCCACCTTCTCGAGAGCAGAGCACCAGCCTATTCTTAAGGAGCAGCTGCTGACTTGTTCCCCGAGTCTCCCGCAGAGTGTTTGTTAGTGGTGACCTGAGAGGTGGCAGGAGGGACCAGCAGACAGGAAGTCAGCAGGCTGGGTGCCACCGAGAGATGATAGTGTGGGAAGGGTGGGCTGCACCCGCTCCTGCTGTGAGCTGCAGCCGCCCCAAAAAAGGCCTGGCTCCTGTCTGGTCAGATCAGAGCATCTGGATGGCCCATCACTGGACATCGCCTCTCCCCCCCCACAAATGAGTTGTCACCATCAAAGAAAGATCTGACTGGATCTTCCCTGGTAAAACAAGAGAGGACACTGAGAGCGGAAAGACCTACCGGGAGGTCCCAAGATATAAAGGACCCTCTTAAAGGAGGGACCCCTGGAATGGCCTGGTCATCTATGTCCAGCATGTGTCACGAAGGCACGCAGGTGGGGACGGGGTCCTGCCTGAGGACCTGGGGCACCAGCGCCTCCCCCATGCGGAGAAGTTCATCTACTGAGGAAGGGCTCCGAACAACAGCCAAGGTTTTGGGCACCGTTGTAACATCCTAGTATTTGTGGCTGTGTTACTGTCACCATCCTTCCTCTGGCTGTAAGTGGAGAGCCTGGGGGACAGCGAAGATACAGAGGAGGGATGGAAAGACCTCCCCGTTGGGAGCGAAGGGGAGGGAGCTGACACACTGAGCCGGTGGAGGCAGCCATGCAGGGCCCAGGACAGGCTGGATGTCAGAGGCCCGGGAGGCGGGGAAGCGGGAAGCGGGGCTGCACCAGCCCGAGCACTCGGACAGTCCCCAGCATCCCGCTCGGCACTGGCCCTGCACCCGCTCCATGCGCCCTTCTCTCTGCCCTCCTCGCTCTTCTCCACGGGAGCCAGTTCAAGGGTCTCCCCCTCCAGGACCCCACCCCCACTCCCAGCCCACGGCCTGCCTTCTTCTGGAGCTGGGAGCCCCCACGCCGGCCTATTTTGTGCTGGTTGATGTTAATGTGTAACTGCTGAGGGTCTCTCCTTTAGGTGGATGTTTCTCTCCTAACTTGGACTTGAAACTTTTCATGAGCCCCCCCTTTTTGTTTCTGGGTCTGCCCACCACAAACAGGGACTGTCAAAGGGATTGGGATGGGGCCTCTCTCAGGGCCTGGCCCTGAGGCATCAGATTCCAGAGATCCAGGACGTGAGGGCAGGTGGCAGGACTCAGAGGGGAGGGGGAAGGACAGGTGAGAGACAGCCCGGGAGCGAGTGGAGGGCAAAGGCACCGTCATCCCAGAAATGCCTCGTAGTCCATGTACCACACCAGCTGGCCAGAATCGGGCAGGACGCCCGAGATGGGCCACTTCTTGGGCTGGTGGCCGACACGGCTCACCAGCATGGTGATCTCACGCTTCAACTTGCCCATGACCAGGACCGCCACCTTCCTGGCGCGGTTGATGAGGGGAAGGCTGAGGCTCATGCGATGGTGCGGGCTGGAGGGGCTCTCGGTAAGCACTACCAGCTCCTCGCCATCCAGGCCGGTGGGCGACTGTGGGAAGAGGGAGGCCGTGTGCCCGTCGGTGCCCATGCCCAGAAGCACTAGGTCAAAGCTGCTGTTGGTGACCAGGGCTGAGATCTCCTCAGTGTAGGCCTGGGCGCCCTGGTCCTCCTGGGCGCAGAGCCGCTGGTGCAGGTGCACGGGCATGGGGTGGATGTTGTAGTAGGGGACCCTGACGTGCTGCAGCAGGTGAGTCTGCAGGCCCTGGAAGTTGGACTCAGGGTCCCAGAGTGGGACGCAGCGCTCGTCCACCTGCCACAGGTGCGTGTGGGCCCAGGGGAAGCCGTAGTGCCCTGTGGCCAGCTGCTGGAACAGGGCTACGGGGCTGGAGCCGCCGGAGAGCGCCAGGTGGAACCGGCCGAAGCGCCGCACGGCCTTCACAGCTGCGGCCTCGATGTCGCTGGCCAGCTTCACGATCAGCTCCTCGGGCCAGGCAGCGACCAGGGGGCTGTCTCGGTACTTGGCCCCGAGAACCTGGAAGTCACTGGGCATCGGAGCAGAACCCGGCCCCGGCACCAGCTGCTCCGCCTGCTGCACGGAAAAGGCCAACCGGCCGCCGCTGAACTCGAAGTCCAACAGGTGCCCGTTCTCGGCCCCCCCTGGGTAGAGGCGCGGGGCCTCGCGGGCCAGGCTGTCCAGCAGCGGGGTCCAGAAGACCCAGGAGGCCAGCAAGCTCTCGGTGGTGATGAAGGAGTCCTTGCGGCCGTGGAAGATGCGTGAGATGAGGGTGGCGTAGGCGTCCTGCTCCCGCACGGGGCTGTAGGCGTAGTAATCGGACAGAGGGCGGCCGAAAAGGCGCAGCCCGGGGGGGCCCTCCAGCTCCCTCCAGCCGCCGGGCAGCGCGGGCCGGAACAGGTTCCTGCTCACCAGCACCGCGGGGCTGCCCAGCTCGCCGTGCCCCACGTGGAAGACGACCTGCCGCGGCAGGCACGGGCTCTGCGCCCCGACGCGGCGCTTCTCGCTCTGGGCACAGCACGCCCGGTTCTTGAACAGGACCCGTACGTAGCTCACTCTCTCGTCCAAGGCTTTGCCCGACATCAGGATGAAAGGAACGCCCTCCCAGCGAAGGTTGTCCACGTGAATGAGGGCGCCTGAGGCGAGGGGACAGCGCAGGTGACGCTCCGGCACAGGGAGGCAGGGGCTTCCTGGCCCACTCGCTTCCCCTTCCTCCCTTCCTCCCAGCCAGCCCTTCCCTCCCGGAGCCCTTCCTCTGGGCACCCACGGCGCTGAGCACCCCCGGCCTTGCTAGGTCACCCCCTCCCCACCTTTCACCCCTCTCATCATCCCCCTGGTAGGGCTCCCAAAGCAGCCTCGGGAGCAGCGCAGTCCCCCCCTGAGGGAGGAGAACTGGGCTGAGAGTCTGACCAGAGCCTCTAAGAAAAGTTTCAAGGTGGGGGATCCGGTTGAGGGGTGGGGTTCAGCATTCAGACTGGGGGTGGGTGCTAAGGGCCAGATGCTGAGCATACTCCTGACCTGAGTTCCAAGCCCACTTCCCCGTGTACTATCTGCCTGACCTCAAGCACGTTTTCACCGCCACCGAGCCTCCCATTTCCTCCCCTTTAAATGGGGAGGCTAACCATACCTGCCTGCTGGGTGTGCCCCTGTGAGGACTGAGATGATGTATATAAAGTGCCCGGCACAGAGAAGGCGCCTGTCCACAGTTGCTGCTCTTGTTGTGAGGTTATTATCTGCAGTGTGAGGGAGCCACCCTCGCCCAGAAAGCTCTGAACCTGGGGAGCTGCACAAAGGATGGATCTGGGGGCACCTGCCTGACAGCGTGGTCCTTGCCCGCTGGAGGTGCCTCGGGCTATGGCCGGACAGATTTACAGCCTCACTGGGGGGCTGGACGGAAGCACCACGAGGGTGGGAGCGAGGTCTGAGCCCAGCCCTGAAGGATCTGTGCACAGACACTGGACTGAGACCGTCATGGGGTGTCCTTGGCCCAGAGGGAGCCAGCAGGCGCCCTGCTGCTTTAAGCTGATGGAAGGCCAGGGAGGCAGGGAAATGTCTCGCTGGCCACTGAGCACCCCTGTAAAAATCCCACTTGGAGACCCTTCTAGGCCAAACCAAAGGGCGTCCGGAGTTGGAAAGCTGCCTCCGGCTGCGGGCAGCCCCCAGCTCATGCCCAGCCCCAGGGCCCACCTGCGAAGGTCGGCGTCAGGCTGTGGTAGCCGTCGGGCCTGTGCAGCTCCCTGCGCACCTGCTCGCTGTAGGCCTGGTACTGGCCCACGACGGCACTGCCCTTCCTGAGGCCCCGCAGCGCCTGGAAGACCTGCAGCTTGTGCCGCAGCACGGCCTCCGAGCTGCTGACGTTGGGGGGCAGCTCCATGGCCACCAAGGTGAGGATCTCCGTCAGGTGGTTCTGCAGGACGTCTCGAATGACGCCATATTCCTCGTAGAAGCTGGTGCGACCTGCGCGGGGGAGGGGAGGGAGGGGAGGCCGTGAAGAGTGGGCATCACCGGCCAGTAGAAGCGGGAGGGGGGTGGGGCAGCGCTTATGTCCCTCGGGACAGTTCAAGGCCTCAGCTGCCATCAGGCGGTGCCTCACAGGAGTGTGGGCCCAGGGTGATCCAACCTTCTAATTTTTTGGAGAACATAAAAAGATTAAATGTAATGTCATGTGCACAAATAATTCAGATCTTTTAAAATGCTGTGTGTCTCAAAGATGTGTATGTTGGGCTGACTCTGCCCCTGGGTCACATCCCAGTTGAGGTGAACAGCACGAGCCAGCGGGCAGAGGTCCCAGCTCGCAGTTCAGATGGCAATGCCTGGCCCGGCAGTTTGTGGCTGTGAATAGCAGAAATCGAGGACAGGTGGAAAGGGCCTTGGGAACTAGGCTGAGGAGTCTCAGGAGCTATTGAAAGTCCTTGACCTCAACCAGTCAAAGAGCTACCATATGGTCCAGCAATTCCACTGCCACGTGTACCCAAGAGAAATGGAAGTGTATGTCCACACAAAAACTTGTACACGAATGTCCACAGCCAACATTATTCATCAGAGCCCCCAAAATTGTGACATCCTAAATGCCCCCAACTGATGAATGTATAAGTAACATGTGGTCTATCCACGGAATGGAATATTAGTCAGCAATGAAATGAAGTTCTGACAAATGCTACATGGGTGAACCTCGAAAACATCATGCTGAGTGAAATAAGCCAGACACAAAAGGCCACAAATCGTAAGATCCCATTGATATGAAATGTCCAGAACAGGCAAATCCATAGAGACAGAAAGCAGATGAGTGGTTGCCAGGGGCTGGGGAGAATGGGGAAATTAGAGGCTGGCAGCCAAGGGGCGCAGGGCTCCTTTGGGGGCAATGAAAATGTTCTAAAATGGATTGTGGTAATGGCTGCACAACTCTGTGGATATACTAAACCCGCTGAACTGTATACTTTGGGTAAATTGTGTGATATATAAATTATGTCTCAATAGAACTGGTTTTTTTGAAGTGTCAGAGGAGGGCAGTTGGAGACACGAAAGAAGCACTGTGGGAAGATCAAGCCAGCCAGGACCTGCAAGGTGACCTGGCAGAGAGGGGCTGGTGGTAATGACATCAAGCAGGGCCGGTCACACGGAGCAACAGTGAAATGCAGACAGTATTCAGTGGCTGAGTGGAAACTGGGTGGAGACGGGCGGAAGCCGCCCAGAGCCGTGGCCTGGAGTGGGTCCAGCCCGGCCGCCTGCTCTGCCGCGTCTTAGCCCTGTGCCCCCGGGCGAGTGGCTCTGTCTCACATCTAAGAGAGGAACTGTGACGGTGCCTCCCTGTAGGGCTGCCGTGAGGTTACTGAGTCAACACGTGCTCGGGGCTGAGAACAGCGCCTGGCACGCAGGAAGCGCTGACAAACACTGGCTGGTATTTTTATCGTTACCGGGGCGGCGAAGAGAGGGGCCCCCAGCCAGGCAGTTCAGAGAGCAGTCACCACTTGGAAATAAAGAAGTTAGAAAAAGTAGTTGTATTTCATGAGAAAAATGCAATGATGGGTTTCGTCCTAACTCTGCTGGGCCTGAAGGGGTGATGTGGCCTCCACTGAAAATATCTCAAGGCAGCTGGAGGTCTAAGGTGGGACTTGGGAGAGACAATGAACCCTGGAGAGATACTGGATTTCGTCTCATCAAAAATGCCATCGATGGTGAAAGGATTATTATTTTATAACCATTAAGGAAGAATTGGGCTGCCAATTCAATATGTCACCTCATCAATGGGAAACCCAACTTCAGAGATGCTCAAATATGAAAAAAAAAAAAAAAGTGCTTTAGAATCAGTGACTCACGGGAGACTTAAGAGTGTAAAGCGAACAAAGCTTTGAGAACAGAGGAGTTTTTGATGGAGAGAACACAGCAGAGTCCTTAAAAGCCCTGTTATCTGCTTACTATTCATTAGTTTAGCAAATCCCTAAGTGGCTCTTTTCCTATTTTTAATACTCTCCCAGTCCGTGGGGAGAAAGCATTTCATAGGCTTACTGCCCACTGTGTAAAAGAGAGCAGCCTTTATTCCCAATTTCAAGCTTCAGGGGGTGCGCCGAGTTTAGCACAGCCCACAGATTTGTGGACTTTGATCCCTTCCTGGCCCGCTCTGCCTTCTCGGAGTTCAAGTGCAGGGACGAAAGCCTCAGGCCTGTGCCTCTCAGGGGAGGCCCCGCAGCTAAGTGCCGGCACAAGACAGGGAGGGGAGAGGCCTCCTGAAGATGCCCAACAAGCTGTTTTTTTTCTAGATATCACCAGTTGCTGTGGGCTGATTTTTCTGCCCCCCTGAAAATGATCTCTGTGAACCCCTACCATCCTTTCCTAGGTTGAAAGGTGAGAGTTAAAGTCCATCGATGTGAACAAGGCTGGAACAGGGCACAGTCGGGATGGGCCACTGGAAGAGGCCCCCATGCACGTGGCTTCCATCCCGCCTGAGTCCAGAGCTCACCCAAGTTCACAAGCAGGGGAGACCTACCGCTCTGCACCCCACGTGCGCTGTCCCTCGAAACCTCACGCAGTAGCACCCCATGGAGGGCAAGAGAGGTCTGATGAGATGTAATAACAGCTATAAAGTAGACTTCACCCTTTGGCCTATTAATTCCATTTCAGAAATATACTCAAAGGAAAAAAAAAAACACCAATGCTCATAAATGTTCCAGAATTAGATAGTGGTTGCACAACTTTATGAATACATTAAAAACCACCGAATTGTACACTTTAAAAGCGTAAACTTTATGGCATGTGAATTGTATCTTAACTTTTTGAAAGCTCACAAAGGACTATTTAAAATAGCAAAAAACTGGAAACCAAAATGCCTACTAAAAGAACAATTCATACTCTGTGGTATAGATAGAATTGAACAGAAAGATAAGCGCTACTAAATGGTATATGTTATGCAGATTGTCAATACATGAAAATTTAAATACATATATAAGTGGAAGAGAGAGAAAATGTTCAATGAAAAATGGACATAAACACATACAACAGCCCTGGCTGGTGTGGGGCAGTGGGTCGGGCATCGTCCCGCACACCGAAAGGTCGCCTGGTGAACTCCTGTCAGGGCACATGCCCAGGCTGCAGGCTTGATCCCTGGTGGGGGTGCATACGGGAGGCAGCCAATTCATGTTTTGCTCTCACATAGAAGTTTCTCTCTCTCTCTCAATCTCTGGTCCTCTAAAAATCAATTAAAAAAAAAAAATCTTCTTTTAAAAGCATATAACAGACCAGTTATGGGGTAAAGACCCAGCACAGGTCACCTATAAGTCACGCGGAGCCCAGCGGCTGAGGCCATGCCCACTTCCTGTCCTTGCCTAAGCGACCGGAGAAAAGCTCTTCCATTTGTAAAGTGCTCCCGTGTACATCACCGGATTTAACCCTCAAGACACTCCCAGACAGAGGCGCTGGGTCACCGTCACAACACAACAGAGACTGTGCTGAAGACCACAGCCCTTCAGAACTGGGACCTCAAACCTCGTCCCCATTGCCTCCACGTTATGAGGGATGCAAATTTTCCCAGTTAAAAAGAGGGCTTTAAAAACACACACAAAACCGAAAAGCCAGCTGAGATCCCTACCAATACCTTCTGGGATCACTAAAAATAAAAAGGGGGCTGGGCCAAGGAGCCTGGCGGCTGCCCGAGCTCACCTTGCGGGGCCCTGCAGCCAGGAAGGGAGCCGCCCGCTGAGCGAGCTCCCGCCCCCGCTGGCGCCAGGTGGGAAGGCGGCACAGCCGGTGCCCCTGGGAGGGTCCTGGCGGCCTGTCCCTCAGTGAGAGGCACTGAGCGGTCACTCAGCCCTCGGAATGGACACTCACCACGCTCCTTCCCCAGTGTCAGAACAGGGACCCTCCCAAGCCCAGCCTCAGTCCATTAGGGACCCGGGCCCTCCTTTCAGCAGAGCCTTTCCCAGTGGCCATGGCGGGGCCAGCAGGGGTCATCTCCACACAGAAGCAAAGTGGCCCACCGGGGTCATTCCTTATGTGGCCCACAGTGCTGTTTCAGGGGTTCTGTGACTCTCAGGGGCTCACTGGATGGGGACTCCCCAGGAGGGCTCCCAGGTGAGCCGGCGGGAGCTGGGTACTGGGGGGTGCTTCTGCCTGTCTCCCTCCCTCCCTGCTGTCTAAGCAGCAGCCTTGCCGCTGCAGCAAACTCCTCTGGGCCAGAGGCTGTGGCAGAAACGGAGAAAAAAGGCCCACTCACACAGCCGTGGAGGGAGGGAGCTGGGGAAGCCGCCTCCACCCATTTGGATGTGAGTGGGGGTGGGGACATCCAAACGACCTTGCAGCTCACAGCTCCCTCTCCCAGGGCCTGCAGCAGCTCGGACCAGAAAAGCCCTGTTTCCCAGCCTGGCGTGCAGCCCCCTCCCCTTCTAGCACTCAGGGTGGTGGTCTAGGCTGCCACCAGGGACCAGATCAGTGCTTCCCTGCACAGGACTCAGCGAGGGGCTGCACAGCTGCAGGAGGAGGGAGAAAAGGCCAGGGGCCGGCTGCTGGGGTGGGGGGGATGGCTGGAGGGAGAAGGCCCCACACTTTGCCCTCTGGCTTACCGGTCAGAATGCTGGGCTCAGAACCTGCCCGCAGGCCTCACTCGGTCCCACTGCAGCAGACACTGTGACCTCCAGCAGGAGGGCAGTCTTTCCTCCTGCCTGCTTCCTACCCCCAACCCAGGGAAAAAGGAAAGCTGAGGCCTGATGTGCTGGGCACAGGGCTTCCTGGGCCATGGTTGGGGGGGCTGCAGGGTCTGGGCTCCAAAGCAGGACTCAGAGGGAACAGCAAGGATCAGTGCTCGGGGGACCAGAACTGCACCAGGCCACTTCTGGGATATGAAGAATGCTTGTCCTTCGGGGTCCCAGTGGGGGTGGGGAACGGGACAGAGAGAGAACTCACTGTGTTGCTGAAGGACAGGTGTCCAAGGCCCCACTGAGCACAGGAGCAGGAAGTCATTCCTGTTACACACTGTTTACACTGTTCTGGGCCTGAAGAGGCAACTGGCAGGTAAACAGGCGGGCCAGGGAGATCCAACCCCCAGGACGGCTGCAGTCCTCCTGGCCCCCTCTGACAGGACAGTGGGCTGAACCAGCGCCCTTTAACCACATCCTTACTGGCTGCAAGTCCCTCGGGGCTAGTGGGCCCTCTCTGCGGGCCCTGCTCTGGGTGCCCTTGCCACTGGGTTGAAGGCACAGAGCCCAGCTGAGTGGAGCAGCCTTGTGCTATGGGCTTGGCAGCCCTGCCCCTCAGAACCCACACCCGGCAGGCAGCTGGGCTGTGCTTAGACCCACACAGCAGCCTTAACCTCCCTCCTGTACAACCAGACCTGCCCAGGCCCCTGCCTATCTTTCTGTTTTCCTTTCTCCCAAATCCAAAAGTACCTTTGCTGCACTTTGCTTAGCCCCTGGCTCCACAGGGATCCTGCAAAGAAACCCACAAACGAGATAGGATCCAAGAAGAAATAAGTGGTAATGGTGCCCACTGGGACCTCCAGATATCACGGCTCTTCCCTAACCAAGTGTGGGCACAGGAAGGAGCTGCAGAAATGGGGGTGGAGGGCATCCTGGTGTCTTACCCCTGCTGGTAACCAGGCCACATCCAGGCAGAGCCAGGTGCTGGCTCCCACAGCGGGTGTGGCAGGGGCTCCCTCCCATCCCACCCACGCTCTCAGCCTCAGCGCAGGGTTTGAAGCTCATCTCTGCAGATAAAGCAAGGGCGAGGCCCAGCATTCACTCAGCAGGGCCCAGACACACACAGGCACAAGGAGGAACCCCACGGCCTGAGCCCTTGCTGAGGACCGCAGGGAAAGTCTGGAAGGGCTGGGGGATCCCGAGACCCCCCGAAGGCTCACTGCAGCGGGGACCTCTCTTCTGATATGGGTTCCAGACTGGAGAAACCCAGCTCCTCTCAAGGAGCAGTGCCCTTCAGGCCTGGCTCCCCAGGGCCTGCCTGACCGCCCAGCCCACCATGCCTCCCTCTCCTGCCCCACAGCGCTGCCTGACTGCATGGTTCATTTTGGAATTCATCCTGATATATTCTCTCCTGAATCTGTGCTGTGTCAGGGGACACAGGCTGGGTCTCACTGTTCTCTGTATCACCACAGAGCTTCTAGCTCTAAATACACATCCAAGGAAGAAGCGAAAGCTGGAGAGAGTAACCCAGAGAAAGAAAAAGAGAAGGCAGAGAGAAAGAGGCAGACCTCCTGGTCCCAGCGCCACCCCCTCCCCAGGCCCGAGGGGTCTGGGATCCCGCCCTGCCCAGAAGCGGTCCTGCTGCAGAAGCGGTCTCAGCAGGAGCTGGAAGTCGGGTGCAGAGCCTGGGGCTGGAGCCAGCCTGCCTGCCCGGGGCGCGGCCCCACCACTTCCAGCCGAGGGACCTAGGGCACATCACCAGCCCTCACCTGCCAGCGCAGGCTAATCGTACCCACCTCATTCGGCTAATGGGGGGATTAGGACACAAAAAGAATTCACTTTTATTATTTGGGGCAAGAACCAATGCTCTGAACATAGACAGTCCATGCTCAAAAAATCTGATGAAATCCCAGAATGCCAGAGCTCAAGGGGGCCTCGGCTGTTGTCATCTACACAACCTGCTCATCTCACAGATGAGGGAGTGACGTGCTGAGGTCACCCAGGTGAAGGCAGAGACGGGCCGAACACTCAGGCCTTCTGGCTCCCAGCTCAACACTGCTCCTTCGCCGGGTATTTATCCAGCACCTCCGAGGTATGTGCCAGGCGCCAGAGCAGGGACGGCCTGGACCTTGGGATCTGCAGGGACGGGCAGACTGGACAGGAATAAGACCAGGAAAAAACTTGGGGGCAGGAGCAGCCTGGCCAGGTGGCTCAGGTGGTTGGAGCATTGTCCCGTACACCAAAAAGGTGACGGTTCGATTCCCGGTCAGGGCACCTAAGTTGTGGGTTCCATCCCTGGCACATGAGGGTGGCAACTGATGGATGTTTCTCTCACATCAATGTTTCTCTCTCTCTCCCCCTTCCCCTGGGAGGCACTTGGAGCTCTAAGTGTCACAGGAGTGTCTCTTGTCAAGATACTAAGCAGAGGCTCCCCAAGAAAGTGACAACTGAGCTCAGGACTAAGAACAGGAGGGACCAGAAGGTGAGGAGATGACGAGGGGAAGCCTTCCAGAGGCTGCCACTTGGGCAAATGCGAAAGTCTGAGGAAGCCTCACGCAGCCTGATGGTCGGCCGCACCCCCAGAGAACTCAGGTTAACTTCTGGCGTTTACTGCACCGGAGCCAAGTTTACTTAGCGAGACCCCACGCTCCCTGAGGGCAGCAACGACCATTTGGTCCACACACAAGCAACAAAGTCCCTCTGACAAGTCCTGGCGGAGGCACAGGGCTGGCCCAGCACCTCAGCAGACACAGGGCAGGAGGAAGGCAAGGGGGCGAGAGAGGGACCATCACCCACCTCCTGCATCCACTGTTTCCTTCATGACGACCTCCACCCGCTCCACGTGGTGCCGGTTCCAGAGGCCGTCCAAGGCCTTGCGGTTCTGGTCTCGGAAAGGCAGGATCTGAGCCACGGCCTGGCGGGGAAGGAGACTGGTTGTGCTGCGGGTTCTTCCAGGATGAAGGAGGAATCCTGACTCCAAGGAAGGGCACATACCTAAGTTGTGGGTTCCACCCCTGGCGCATGAGGGAGGCAACTGATCGATGTTCCTCTCACATCAATGTTTCTCTCTCTCTCTCCCGGGCTCTGAGAAGACGCTCAGAGCGATGGCCCCTGCACTTCAGGGCTACCTGGTCCAGGAAGGACTCCAAAACTTTTAAGTGACCTCCACAGGGTTATCAGCTTTTTATTTTGCCAAGAAAGAAAATACTTAAGATTATCTATGCTTTGTGACATCAACTTTTAATAACAGAAAGGTACTATAACTCCAAAAATGGAGTAAGAAAAACTTCAAATTGACATTCGGTTTTTTTTTGCGTTTTTTTTTTTCATTTTCCCATGAACAAGGGAAAATCTCACCAGCACGGACACTGGTCTAAGGACCACTCTTTGGGAGCACTGCATCTCCCAGCAGGGCTGGATGGGGAGCCACACTGCAGGCCTGGGCTCGCCTGCCTGGTTCGCACCAGGGAACGCAGGTGTGCTCTCTGCTGGCGTCTCTGGGGACAGATGTCCTATCGGGGCTCCGAGGGCACGTTCAGAGTGAACTGGCCACCTGCAGTGCGTCCCCCAGCTCAGCCCCACACTCTGAGAAGCACAGACCCTGGGTCCCTACTCCGCTTTAAGATCTTGTTACCAGCCTCCTGACTCAAAACAGAACTCAGGAAGAAAATGATGCTGAAAAACAGGCAGATGGGTGTGGAATGAGGTGGTTAATTCCAGGTCCAGACCCCAGTGTCTTGGGGCTACCTCCCGAGGGGAGGCAGGGAATAGCTGAGAGATCAGTGCCCGGCCACTGGTGGGAAACAGGACAGGACACACCAAAGAACAAGCGCTGGACACGTGGACTAGGGCCGCACAGACCTGCTCACCGTGGCTTGTCCTTTGCTCTCTCACCTCCTGCCCACCTTCAAAACGACCACGGAGCTCAGGTTTCACGTGCCTTCAGGCCTAATTCCACAACCAGTGGTGTGGCCCTGTCCACGGGGTCGACCTGCGCCCAGCTCATTCCAACTCTGGCACGCGCCACGCCGAAGCTCACCTGCTTGCCCAGGTAATGGTCCACCCGGTACATCTCCTCCTCTTGGAAAAAGCTCCCAAGTTCGGTGGCCAGCTGCTGGGCTGAGAGGTGGTCGTGGCCAAAGGGTTTCTCAAGGACGACCCGCAGCCAGGCACCTGGGCCTGGACGGCAGCTGCTGTTGATGCTCCGGGCGATGCCTGCATAGGCGAAGGGCGGCACCGAGAAGTAGAAAATCCGGCCTGCCTCCCGGAGGCCCTTGCGCTGGACCAGGGCCTCGATGTCCTTGCTCAGGCCCACGTAGTCCTCCGTTGAATTCAGCTGGCGGTACTGGCTCAGCTGCTGGAACTGGTCTTTGAGTTCAGCACAGCGACCGGGTGCCACATCCTTGGGGCAGGAGAGGGACTCCAGGACCTTGACCAGGACCTCCTGGCCCTTCTTGGTGGCCGTCAGAGCAGTCCCATGGAAGCTAAAGCTATGGCCCTTCCCCGCCTCATCCAGGTACAACTGGAACAGTCCCTGCCATAAGTATTTTTTGGCCAGGTCCCCAGTCGCTCCCAGCAGCACTATGGAGACATGTCCCTGGAGCTCCTGGGCCTGCACGCAGCCCAGGAGGGCCACGCACATTGCCACAGTGAGCATCTTCCAAGAGCCGGGGTGCCTGGGAAAGACACACAAGGAACAAGGAAGGATCAGACATGGCTCAAGTGGCGTGATGTGGTGTAAACACGCTTCTAGGCTATCAAACATTTCCTGCCTGGCAAGAAACGACGTTTCTCAGGAAAACGCTATAGGCCCACAGCTTCCCCCTCCCTCCGCAGCAGCTTGCTTCTGAGCCAGAAAGCCGGTGGGTAGGGAGCCTGATCTTTAAACAGGGAAGGTGGCAGGCCACTGCTAGAAGTGGGGCATTTTGCTACAGGAGCATGGGAAAATGGCACAGCCAGGAGGGAGGCCAACAGGGCTGCCAAGGGATCGGAGCTACCCACCTTATGACCAAGGCCGGTCTGTGCCCTGAGCACAGGCTGCCTGGACCATCAGGGCAGCTCAGGAACCGTGGCTGGAACTGTGGGAAGCTATGATCACCTTCTCTCACATCTCTCTTTGCGTCTCCCATGTCCACTGGGCTCTAAGCACAAAACGATCTCTGCTAATTGCTACAGCACAGTGATTAAAAACAATGACTCTGGAACCAAGGGACTGAGTTTGAATCCCAACTTTGAATCCCATCTCGGTGCCGCCCTTTGCCTATGATATAACCTCTCTGTACCTCAGTTTCCTCACTTGAAATGGGAGTAACAGAGGTAGGTACCTACATCATGGGGTTGTTAAAAGATTATGAGTTGATGTTTATTATATGCTTGGGGCAGTGCCTACCACCTACTGAGTACTATATAAGTGGTGGGTAGCTATTATTGTGGGATATGTATTAACAAGAGCAACAAACACTGAACTTGGTGCATGTATGCACTGGAGCTCACGGAACGCAGACAAGAACCCCAAGCAGACCCAGCGGAGTGGGTACCACCTGGTCACCCTTCCGCAGGTGGAGCAGCTGAGGCTCAGGCAGGCGGAGGTCCCCGCGCGAGAAGGCGGGGAAGCGGGCAGGCACCAGCCTCCCGGGCCCCTGAGCTGGCTGCATGGCAATTGCACGCCGCGGCCTCCCGACGTGGCCCAACACCTTGGCTGCTTTTCAGCCTGATCTGGAGCAGCTGACAGGTGTGAAAGGCGAGAGGCCTCGGACCTGCCACAGATGCACCAGAGGATGCCTTTCTCTGGCCTTCTGTTCGGACCGCGGTTGTAAGGCTCAACATGCTCGATTTCACCCCACGCCCCCCCATTCTCCAGTTTCCCTCCAGGGACGGGGCTCTGAGGAGGGGGTAGAGGAAGCCAGGACCGGAAACACCACAGGCAGCAACTGGGTCTCGGGGACAGGTGGGGGAATGGGCCCAGCCTGGGAGAGCTAAGGAAGGAAGGAAGGAAGATTACTGATTAGCACCTATTTTATGGCAGCCTTTCTACCAGATAAAGGTAATAAAATCTCAACCGTGAGGCTGTAATCTGGTATAAGAGAGCGAAACTGAAGCACAGAGAAATCGCAGGAGCTGGCAGGGAGCTGGCAGAGGCCTGCAGCCCGGCCGGCTGACCTTCCTGCAGGCCTGCATGGCCCCTGGATCCAGGCCCCAGCTCGGCCTCCTGACTCCGGCATCAGACTCCCTCCACTTCTCCCTCTGACTCATTCTTGTCTCTCTCCAGACCCATCCCGGAGACGGCGCCAGGCGGCAGCCAAACTAAGAAGATCCAACCACAGTGCTTGTACCAGACTCTGCAGGACACCAGACACTGATGGTACTGGAGCCTTAACTGGAAGATCAAGGGACCCTTTGGGTGGCCTCCAAGCCTCCCTCCTCCACTCCTCCTCTACCTGCACTCACCCCGAATCCAGACGGGCCACAGGACCCTTCTACTTTCTTCTGCTTTCCAATTCCTGTCCCTGGCCCTTCAAGCATTTCCTTCTTAAGTGGCAACCAGCCGTGTCTGGAGGGAAGGAAAAGCTGCAAGGTCAGTGCAGGAGACAGGCAGCGAGAAATGTGAAGCCCAGAGAACAGCCTGGAGGAGGAGCCGCCAGCTGGCAGGCTGCGTTTCAGAGCTCCTGATCGGAGCGGCAGCCAGGGTTCTGGATGTGCCCGGCACAAGCAGAGGAAGGAGCACAAGGCCTCAGGGTGCCCGGACGGGCAGGTGAGGGAGCCCCATCCAAGAAGACTGCAGAAAGCTGCGATGCTGGCCTGCTGGCCTGCACCAGCTCCCAGCCCTGTGGAATCCTGTTCTGACTCAGAGTTCTTGCTGAGTCTCCCCTGACCGGTCCTGTTCCAGGCTCCCAAATCTCAGGTTAGTCATGTCCCCTCCCCCGCCGTTATCTCTTGCACATGTTCCCAGAACTCCTTTAAACAAATACAAATTAGAGATATCAGCTATTGCAACAAGGTTGCTTACTCTGTGCTGCTCAACACTAGGGAACTGTTTCCTGAGCCAGTGAAGGGGTGTGTGTGCATGTTTGGTTGGTTGATTACCTTTTTTTTTTTTTAACCTTAACAGTGTTTCTCAAACTTTAGTATGCATCTGAATCTCTTGAGGATCGTTTTAAAATGCAGATTCTGACGCAGAGGGTCCAGGGAAGGGCCTGGGATGCTGACAGCTGGTCCAAAGAGCGCACTTTGAATAGCGAGACTCTGGAATACTGAGCTCTGAGTCTCAAGCAACAGCTTTCATCACAGGGGGCAGGAGAATCAAAATACATACACCTGCCTCCTGCTCCCTGCACCAGGGCCGTGGGCCTTCAATTCAGTGCCCACAGCAGGTCCAGACATGGGTCTTCCCATGGTTAGATTTGCCCACCCCCTTGCAAAAACTGGTTGCTAACTACAGAGAGCCTAATAATAATACCTAACGTCTACCAAGCAGGCAGTGTGTGCAGAGGGCTCAAATGCACTGTCTCAATCTTTCCTCAAAACCGCCTGGTAGCCCTGGCCTGTGTGGCTCAGTGGTTGAGCATCGCCCCCACACACCCAGAGGTGGCCAGTTCCATTCCCAGTCAGGGCAAATGCCCAGGTTTCGGCCTTGATCCCCGGTAGGGGGTGTGCAGGAGGCAGCCAATGATGTTTCTCTCTCTCATCCATGTTTCTTTCTCTCTCCCTCCCTCTCGCCACCCCCCCCCCCCAAAAAAAAAAAAA